TATTGCAGCCAGAATCATCCTCGTGTGTTCCTACCAAACTAGCTGCATTACCAATTTTCTCGTTATAATTTGCTTCAGACATCTGCTCTATTGTTGTGACCTGACTTGTCTCCTGGTCTCTCTTACTATTGTTGAGACTGGTACGTCTCCCATTGATGCCCCTATGACGCTTACTGTGTTTGTGTAGGCTCATGATTGCGCTGACTCTTGTAAATAATTTTCGTTACTTGTCCATTAACATACCTCTAAACTTTCTTCTTGATAGGACACGCCTGATCAGCACATTTGTAATAACTTTGAGGAAAATCTCTACCTTTCACTTTCTTCTGCCCATATTTCCGCCAGCCGTTGTATCCATCATCAGCTGGTTTATAATCAGCAACCGGAGGCTTTGCTCATAGACGGATACTTCCGAGTTATCTCTCTGAGCTTGGGACGAATCCTGAACCTGAGATGGAAACAATGGAACCTCAGCCAGTGAAGTTTCTTGTTGTATAGATGATTGTGATTGCATTTGGGCAGTATTGCCATGATTTTTTGGATGTCATTAGCTATTACACATGTGACTTTATGTGTAGGGATCTTTTGGTATGACACACCAACAAGCTTTAGCACAAGGATTCCCTTGCAAACACTTGATTAAATAAATTGAAATAATCAAGATTTGGAAAGGAAACAATACTAATGATCACTAAGAGTTGATTAATTATGATGTTGGATTTGTGAAAGTTCATGTCCAATTCATTAATGTCCGTTTAGTACGAGATTATCCACTTTAGATCTGTGAGGCAAGTCCGCATGGATTTACTTTTGGATTCCTTCCCAAAAGATCTTATACTAATTAGAGTTGGATATCTTATTATATATTATAAACTCGTTTTCTAAACTTTCGTTGTGAAATGTTGTTTGATATCTCGCATTCGCCCCCTCAAAGAAAGGACCATACTCATCTCGTATGTTTTTCCTTCAACGAATCATTTTGGGACAATCTTGTACCCTTAATCGAAAGGTTATCTTGAGAATGTTTCTCCCACAACATCACATGTTCCATAATCTTCTTATTAGGTTCTGCCACAGACCTGGTTTTCCGACTTGAAGGGCCTCATTCCTACTTAAAGGATATTTTGGTCATCTTGTAGATTTTTTGTCATACCATCTTGATACTAAATGTTGGATTTGTGTAAACCCATGTCCAGCTCTTTAATCTGTGATTAGTATGATATTTTCTACTTTGGACTTGTGATGCAAGCCCACTTGGGTTTACTTTTAATTTTTTTCTCAAAAGATCTCATACTAATTAGAGTTAGACATCTTATTACATATTAGACATTCATTATCTAAACTTTCAATGTGCGACGTCGTTTGATATCTCACATATGATTCTCTCTTTTGCCTGAAATTTTCATATTTTCAATATACTATAAAACAGAGACTCTCATAGATTTAGTTTACCCATAAGTCAAAATCATATGAATTTTCCAAAAGAAAAGCATAAGTCCTAAAATGAAAATATATATGAAGAGAAACTTCAAACCAGTTTAAAATATATATAACTATGACAACAGCTCTTATAAAGTATTAAACTGTTATTCAACTGTTGAATGGGGGTTTCAACACCCTCATTGCTCATGGTCTTATGGCATTAAACTCAAAAGCTAAAAGAACAAAACTCATCATCATGTCAGAACTAAATAACCATCAATCAAATCCCTAATCAACAGTCAATCTTGAAAATCCCTAATATCCACTTATACTGCAAAACAGAATGACAAAGGTAAAAAGACAAACAAACATCAAAGTTCGGAAGTTACATCGATTCTCGAAACAAATTGAAACAAGTTTAAATACGAAACAGAAAAAAATCAAAATTAAAACATTTGTGATAAAAAGAATCTCTGCACACTAGATCTTTAGTTAAGAAGTTTCTATGTTTCCTTTATAAGGAAACAAATCTAATGAAAAAGAAAGATGTGCACCTTTAGTTTAAAATCATTGAAAATTTTGACTGCATTACAACTGCTCCATTGCAGAAGCTTGCAAGACTGAAGGTTCAACCAAATTTCTTTTTTTTTGCAAAGTCTAATGAACACAAGCATTCTAACCATTTTTCAACCTTTAAAAGAGAAAAACAAAGTTTGCAACTTTAATCCAAAATAATGAATGTTTTACTACACACCATAGAAAGACCTCTAATGTTTAAAACAAAAGCATATGATCACAAGGCAATAAAACAATGTTTGCAATGGTGCTTCTTCTTTTCATAGCAAATAAAACATGATTAGGTTAGGTCTTATATGTATACAAAAACAGAGGCTGATTTATGGGTTCTGTTCTGGACGGTCGAATGTATGGATAATCTACATTTCTCAAATATTATTTTTGAGACATCGTCCGACAGCCTCCATGACATTCTCACACAGCCTGACAACCAGCAATACTTTGATTTCCGTCTCATCCGCCATAGTATCTTTACTCTTCTGGCAAGGATAGACATATGGAGTTTAGATCACGGCTTTCATGAACGCAATGAAGCGGCAACGGCAGTTGCTCTAAGTGTCACTCGTGATCAGCGCCACCAATCATACATAGCCAGACATGCTCCGGTGTGGCTTTATCATCTTCTCGCTTTAGAGGCTCATGAGTAAGGGATCAGTTAAGTGAGCTTCCTTTCATTTTGCTGTCGGGGTCTACTGACTTCCTATCTTATTTTTCTTTATGTATTTTCTGTTCCCAATGTTGTATGATCCTTGATTTAAGTGTTATAAAAAAAGGTTAGGTCTTAATGTAATCACCAATATATATAACCCTTTGTTTTTTCCTTTAATTGCAATCCAACCCCTTAAGTAAATTAAACTCTTTAGTCGACCATATTTGGAAAAAAATAGTAATCAACGTTACATCAAGACTGGTCTAATCGTAGAGGATAAGATAACATAACATAACGGATCTTACGCGTGTTTGGATATTACTAAACATACATAAGTTTTTTTTGGTCTGATACTATCACAACTTTGATTTTTATGAGTCAGGTCTAGTAATATCCAAAAATATGATTTCTTTGGCAATTCCTAATGGTGTATATGGTTCTCGATTCCATGGTATAATTTTGGTGATAATATCTTACCCATTGATATTTTCCGATAATTAAATTGAACACATACATTTATTTGAACTGAATCTTAAAAGTGAGATGGGACCAAAGATGCGTAGCCCACACCATTTTACATCACACTTATCTCATTTCACATAAGATAGGAGATCATAACAGAAATGCTATGAGCTAACTCTTTTATGAAGTTGTTTAAGTCACTAAAAGAAGACCCTCCTTTCACAGCCGCATTAGCCATCTCCGCCAACTTCTTTTCCCATCTCCGCCTCTTCCTCAACCAACACCTCCCTCACCACTTTATCTACTGTCTCTCGGGTGATGCAATCTCCAAAACCGTTCACCTGCCTTTTTGCTCATACGATCACTCCGGTTATGAGAACTTGCGTAACAAGTTTCTCATTATATAATTGCTCAGTTCCAACCGGCCATGTCACAATCGGTACCCCAGCATCCACTCCTTCAGGAAGAGAGTTCCAGCCGCAATGAGTCAAAAACCCACATGTTGCTTGGTGGTCAAGTATCAGCACTTGTGGTGCTCATCCTCGAATTATCATCACTCTCTCTTTAGTCTTCTCTCCGGTTTTAATGAATTTTAAGTACTAGTATTTGCATTGATCCAAAATTGTAGATATTTGAATTATTCGGATCAAACTGAAATGGGTAATAAATAGAATAACTTTTAGTTATACTTAGCCCACCCCTGAGTAAAGGCAAAGACTGTGTTCAAGTACCCGGTTTTTTTCTAATAACCCAGATGAAGTTTTTGACAGAAGCTTCTAAACCACCAGCGATCTCTATCAGCTGCTCATTCTTGAAGCTAGCCACACTCCCAAATGAAATGTAAACGACTGAGTCTGATTCCTTGGAGTCAAGCCATTTGAGACATTCAACCTCATCAACACTCGCTTTCTGTTCGGTCGTTGATATGTTCTTGAGTCATCATTATGTTCCAGGGAGACGAGGGATCACAACTCAAAGCTACTCTCTTTTGCGGTTTATGCAGATTGATGCAATAATCAAAGCATAAGGGGAAGTAGTCAAAGCTGTGGAACACAAGTCTTGGCACGTTGAACTTCTCAAAAGCTTGAATAGCCCAAGGGAAGAACATGTCGGTGCCTCGAGGAGACTCTCAACCTGGTCTTTGAAGTACCTTGTCGACAAAAAGAACTTAAGGATCATGTCTTCTTTTATCATCATTGTTGTTCGAGGTAAGGAAATCAGCATTTTCGCATCCTTCTGGTAACCCCAGCTGCACGCAAGGGAAGTCCAGGATCTGGATCTCGATTTCAAGACTAGGGTTCAGGTTCTTGAATGTGTCGATGTGTTTCTGGAGGATCTTAGAGTTGAGAGGTGTGGTGAGGATTGTGGATTTGGATCCTCTGCTTGAGAAAAGCTTAGCCATGTCTAGAGTTGGTATCATGTGACCATGAGTTGATAATCTCTATTTATGTATATATATTATATAACATTCGGAAACTAGGAATCATTCTACCTAATGGATATATTCTGACGTCTTAGCATCAACACTTGTTTTGGTTTCTTAAGGTAATTTCCACCATAACACTAATTTTGATGTTAAAATTACATTAAAGTTGGTGTTTTGATGTTAAATTATTTTTGCCATCTCCTACCAAGAAAACAAATATTACACTAAAAATAATATTATATTTTGAATAATTTATACTTTTATTATTTGATAAATAATTATTTTATCACACTTAAAGATTAGGTTTATGAAAATAATTATTTATTACACTTAGATATTAGGTTTGTTAAGTGTGAGAAAATAATTATTTATAGTCACGTTTAAGTGGGTTTCTTGTCAAATGTATTTTATTTTGAGAATTTTTATCATTGGGTGCTATTTTTGGATAAATTTTAAAAATGCGCTTTGGAGATTTGACCTTCTTTTAATGAATCGAGTCTTTACATTAGAGAAAGTGAAATGATTTGTTCATAACAAGTTGGAGGATGGTCCATCAGTGTACTCCATAAGAAGTAAACTTTTGCTGGTCTCTGACAAGTTTGTGAACTAAAGTTGTGATCCTTTCAGCAGTTTATCTTGTAGATGTTTCTGTGAATTTCCTTTTGAAGTCATTTTCTATGTCCGGACGAAGCCATAAGAACCGCAACTGCAACTATGAACATGAAGAGCATACTGATAAGAAGTACATATGTTCTTCTTGATGATCTCCTGTATTCTCCAAACAGTAATATCCCCCAAAACGTGCTCACAAGTGGAAGTGCCTGATACACATTAACACATATATTTGTTTGATTGTTTTTTTCACTCTTGAATCATTGAAAATGTTTTAGTCTAAACCTGAACAGCATCTGCAGCTGCATAGCCTGCAGCTTGACCGCCCATAAACTGAAGACCATTACCAAATCCACAAAGAAATCCAGCCAAGAAAGACCATCCTCGGCCATTCCAGTCATTAAGGTAAGCTTTGAAAGAGGACTTTGGGAGACCAAGTATAGGCCAGTACAGGAACTTAATGTTAAGTATCAGAGCAAGCACGAATGCAGATATTGAGAAGTAGAAGAAAGCAGTGTAGACATTGAGTTTTGGAACCCCATGTTTTAATGTGTGCCATTGATCGTTTGTCGCTAAGTTGAATGCAGGTGAGAATAGAGAGAAACAGATACCAGCAAAGAAAGTTATCGCCAGGCCTATTATTGTGCTTTTCCCAAAGACCTATCAATATGCAAATCTTGAATTTTTTTCAAGAAACTAATGCCATATGATCTGTAATGGGAATGAAACAATTTATGTCACCTTGATGGCTCTTTGTTTCTCAAGCTCTATAAGATAAGCTGCTGTCCCTTCTTTAGCTTTCCCTTTCCCTAACCCGCTGTCTGCAGGATCTATCTCTACTTGGAAGGAAGAAGTAGTCTCTAAACTGAAAAAAAATCAAGATTAGTTTAAAACATAAATAAACCATACAAAGTTAAAGAACTAGCTGTGAATCTTTTCTTAAACCTTTTGAAACCTTGGAGTTTAGATTTGTTATCAGCTGCATTTGATTTATGAACAGCAGAGCCGAAACAAACCGCGATCAAGAAACAAGCCACTCCTGGGAAAAGTACCTCAGCTCTGTTGATTCTATCATCCAAAAAGTAGTTTAAAGTTGTGCCTATGAAAAGAAAAGAAGTTCATGAGAAAATGAAAGAAAGAATCAGTTAAAAAGAATCAAGAGTTTTACCAATAACAACAGTGATACTAGCTGTGATGACTTCAGTGACTGATAAACCAACAAAAGCCCAAGCATATTGTGTTGCTAAGTTTCCAAGGCTAAGTACTATTCCTCCAGCCATTGCAAACATCACAGACTGCCAATTATCCTATTGATGATACAAAAGAGCATTTCAACAAAATTTTCACACAAGACAAGTATATATGTGTGTATAGGTTACTGACTTGAGAAAGCTGTGTGATGAAATTTGGTCTACTTGGACCTATTTGGCCTAGTGTGAAGGCTATGATCACTGCAGCTAATAGATTTGTGATTGTGTAGTCAAGATAAGTGTGTTGAGGAAGTCTCCCACGTCTTTCTGTTAGTGTCATGATTGCTGGCCATGTACCTAAGAAGAGCAGAGCTAAGAGCATACAAGAGATTGCTCCTCCTTTGCTCTCTATCATATACATCTTCACTCTCAATTTCTAATACTTATTAAATCGTGAAAAAACGCTGCATGTAAGAAGAAATCGGAAAAATAAATAGGTTATTTAATCTTAAAAGTCTCAAGCTAATCCAAGAACATAATACAAAACACATGCTAATTCAAGAAAGTTAAACCTCTGTTTCACTACTTCCCTCAAAATCTAAAGCAAACACCATTGACTTTTTCTGGTATGAACATAAACATTAAAGATCTAAAGCAACCGTGAGGCAACATACAAGAGACAAATCTTTTGAGTTTCTAGAGAAGCAATAATAAGATAAAACTATAGGTAAAGGATCTTTGACTAGTGGGTTCTTGAAAGAGATTACCTTTTTGAATCTTTTGTCATTAACTTTGAGGTAGAGTAGAGAGCAGAGAACAGGAAGAAAGTAGGACAAGCTTTCGTTTACGTCTATGCTTATAGATTCCCATTTGATTGGGATATTCAGAGAATTTGCGTGGCTGTCCTATAACTTTCAGATCCATATATTTATTTTAAATAATATAATCTGTAGAAAATAGATGATTCTTGAGTTGCGTTCAGATTAGATTCCTTTGCCAGTGGGAAGTCAACGGCTGACATAACCATTACCTTTATTATACATCTGTCTGTTAGTCTATCTTACTGATTAATTCATTCAGAAAAAAAAAAGAATAAGCCAGCAACAAAAATATGATTATACTAAAGACGAATACTAAGCAAACGCTGGAACACCACTTATTTTCATTTGTATAGAAACATGGTTTCTTATGCCATGATCATGATCTGGCCATGTGTTCAAATGTGTCTCGTGTTGATCTTAATACATGGATTTATGTTGCAACCATAGCGAAGTGCCCCTTTTAGTCTATTCTTTTGTATCTGATCCTTTATATATTAATTTACTCGAATGTATACGTGATTACAGTTCATGACTTTCATACTGACATGCACACCTCCCCATATTATGTTATGTAAAGAAAATTAAACATTATTTTCCATTGATGAGAATATAGCTTTATTAGGAGCAATTGAGTCCATAAGGATGCACTGTTGCCATCTCATCACACAAATGAGTCTTTCACTGCACTCTTTGTCAACCTCTGTATGCCTTATCTTGGAGCCAAGATGGATACGCTGAATTCAAGATGGATACTATAAGGAATGCAAAAGAATTGCAGAACCAATGGTGAAACCCAACATAAAACCAATTCTTAAAAAAAAAACAAAAAAAAACAAAAACAATTATGAAACAAAAATTGTGATAAACTTTGAAACTCTGTTTACACCAAAGATTTCTTGAATAATGGTGCAAATATGTTCATTGGGATTATCAGTATTGACATGCGTGGTTGTCCCTTAATATTTTTAAGTAATCTGAGTTTAGAAATAAGTTTAGAGAGATTTGTAGCAAAAGACTTAAGAATAGATGAAATCAGAGAATAACTCTAAGAGACTTTCATGGCGGAAATGAGAGAAAAAGAGATTTAGAATTGTATGCTTTATTATTTCTTTAGAGGTTACATTATATAGGAGTTTACATAAGGGTTTTCGTGTATAGTAAGGTTGAATAACCGTGTGTAGTCAAAGGAAGCAAAGGCGCCTTGATTTGAATGACTGGTGGAGAGCTCTCACACGCGTGTGGCATAAGGTATCTTTTACTTGATACCTTTGCCTTTCCAGCTCGTCCCAGCTGTAAAGGTGAGCCACACTCTTATCTCCTAACGGTCATCACCAAGCTGAAACACTCTTCTTCCCTTAGAGTCTCTCAACCATTTCTTCTGCGCCAAGTTATCTTCCTTAGACTACCATTTCAAACATTTCAAATATCTCAAGTGTACGGACCAATGTCCGTACACTAACTCCATCCGTACATCCATTTCTTCTTCCCTCCTATATCATTTAGAACCCTTATCAACCTCATATAAGACCTCTCAACTCAACACTCCCCCTCAAGCTAGACCATGTGGAACAAGTCTAGCTTGGAATGCTATGAGGTTCTCCTCATTAAAAACCTTACCAAAGAAAACCTTCCTTAGGGATAAAACCTTGATAAGTAAAAGAGTAAGAACCCCATAGCGAGGGGATCAGCTGGGTATAGTAAGATCCATGAGTCCCAACCTGGTATGGATGGACTCCATGGTCTTTTGTCTAGCCGCCTTAGTAAACACATCAGCTAACTGGTCTTCACTCTTGGTGTAGCATGGAAGAATGACTCCAAGAACCATCATTTGCCTTACTTTGTGGCAATCAACTTCAATATGCTTCGTCCTCTCATGGAATACTGAATTGGAGGCAATGTGGATTGCGGCCTGGTTGTCACAATGCATGGTCATTGGTGTAGCTTGATCAAGCTCCAAATGCTTGAGTATCCCCTTGATCCACACAAGTTCATTTATGAGTTTCAGCATAGCTCTGTACTCAGCTTCAGCACTAGAACAAGATACCACCTTCTGTTTCTTGCTCTTCCAAGTAACCAAGTTACCACCAATGAAAGTGCAATATCCAGTTGTTGACCTCCTATCAGACCTATCTCCTGCCCAATCCGCATCACAATAGCCTACAACTTCAGTGCTTTCATTGCATCCCATCCATACTCCAAGACTTGAAGTACCATTCAGATACATGAGCAACCGGTTCACCATTGCCCAATGGTGCTCTTTTGGCACTTGCATATGTTGACTCACCTGATTCACAGCAAAGCATATATCAGGTCTAGTTATAGTTAAGTAAATGAGCTTACCAACAAGCTTTCTATATAGCTTTGGATCCTTGAATGGTGGACTATCTTCTATCTCCCCCTCACGAGGTACTTTGTAACCGTCCTCCAAAGGCATTTTGGCTGTCTTCCCATCAAGCATTCCTGCATCTCTCAAAAGATCAAGTGTATACTTTCTTTGGGNATGGTGGACTATCTTCTATCTCCCCCTCACGAGGTACTTTGTAACCGTCCTCCAAAGGCATTTTGGCTGTCTTCCCATCAAGCATTCCTGCATCTCTCAAAAGATCAAGTGTATACTTTCTTTGGGACAGAAATAAACCTTCCTTGGATCTACATATCTCAATACCAAGGAAGTATTTCATCTCTCCCAAATCTTTAATTTCAAAAACAGTTTTAAGAAAATCTTTAGTTGCTTGAATACCAGCCTTGTCACTTCCAGTTATGATGATATCATCAACATAAACAAGAAGGACAATGATACCTGAGGGAGAGGACAAGGTGAATCGAGTATGATCGAGTTCACATTTCCCGAAACCTCTTCCATTCAAGGTGGTGCTAAGCTTGTTGTACCAGGCCCTTGGAGACTGCTTTAGACCATAGATAGCTTTCTTTAATCTTAGAACATTCCCTTTCTTTACCAGATGTTCCAGACCTGGAGGAGGATGCATATAGACTTCATCTTCTAGTTCTCCTTGAAGAAAGGCATTCTTGACATCCATTTGCCACAATTTCCAGCCAAGGTTAACCGCCAATGATAGGACAATCCTAATGGTGTGAAGCTTGGCAACAGGAGCAAAAGTGTCAATGTAGTCTTCTCCATAGGTTTGAGTGAACCCTCTTGCTACCAGTCTAGTTTTCTTCCTATCTATGGTACCATCAGCCTTGTATTTGATTGTGAAGATCCACCTGCTAGTCACAGCTTTCTTCCCTTTAGGGAGCTCACTCTCATACCATGTTTGATTTTTAATCATAGCATTTGCCTCAGCAGCCACTGAATCTACCCATTCTTTATCCGCCATTGCCTCCTCATATGATCTTGGAANTGAAGATCCACCTGCTAGTCACAGCTTTCTTCCCTTTAGGGAGCTCACTCTCATACCATGTTTGATTTTTAATCATAGCATTTGCCTCAGCAGCCACTGAATCTACCCATTCTTTATCCGCCATTGCCTCCTCATATGATCTTGGAACAAAACTTTCATCCAAGGTTACCATAAACGTGCAATGTTCTTCAGGGTAGTGGGCAAAGGAACACACTGCTTGAGATGGATGCTCAACAGCTTGGGCATTGTAGTAGACTCTGGTATTTACCCAATTAGAAGGAGGGTGTCTGATTCTTGAACTCCTCCTAAGGACTTGTTCAACAGGCGCTTGTTCAGTAGATACTTCCTCATGAGATGTATCACCTTGTTCATGAGAGCTAGTGGTACTCCTTCTTGGACATCTGACTCTTCCTCATTAACTTCAGCTTGAACATTCTCATCATCTTGTCTGACCTCAATATGTTCTTCAACATCAGGAGGAGTACTTGATTCTCTCCCCCCCACATGATCAAGGTGATCTTCATTTTGAGGCTTTGGAGTACCCGCATGACTCCCTCCATTCTCCTTCGGATCCTGGGTCATCTTAATCCCAAGTCCTTCCAGCAGAATCCTCAATGTAGTCGCCTTGTCAGATGTGAGGTCTCTCAAGTCTTCCTGATTCTGATCTTCATAAAAACCTTTAGTCTCTATGAACTTGACATCACGGGACACTAGAACTCTCCTTGTAGTAGGATCATAACACTTATAACCTTTCTGAGATGGTGAATACCCAATAAACATTGCCTTAGTGCTCTTGGCTTCTAGCTTATTCCTCAGCTCCCCGGGTACATGAACATAGCACACACAGCCAAACACTCTCATGTAATCTAGCACCGGTTTGTAGTTGTTTAGCACTTCAAATGGAGCTTGATCATTGAGAATCTTGGTAGGTATACGGTTGATGAGGTAACAAGCAGTAGCAACAGCATCACTCCATAACCTCTTTTGCACATTAGCTTGGAACATCATGGATCTAGCAACCTCCATTAGATGGCGATTCTTCCTCTCAGCAACACCATTCTGCTGAGGTGTGTAGGGGCAGCTAGTCTGATGAAGAATACCATGCTCAGCTAAGTGGTCCTTGAAAGCATTACTAGTGTACTCCCCTCCATTGTCTGATCTGAAAATTTTAATCTTGGCATGGAAGTGGTTAGTCACATAAGATTGAAAATTTCTAAATGCATCAAGGACCCTATCTTTAGATGCTATAAGTGTTAACTAGGTGTATTTTGATTTCTCATCTATGAATGTGACAAAATATTTATGATGTTCCCTAGACAAACAAGGTGCAGTCCAGACATCAGAATGTATTAAATCAAAACACTTATCATAGACAGTAGATGATTTCTTAAAAACAGTTTTACAATGCTTGCCTAAAATGCAAGCTTCACAATCATTATTCTCAAATACCACACCTGG